CGGCCATTTGGCCAGACACAAAGCGCAGTTGTGGACTTTGGACGACGCTCCCAATCCGCATGTCCATTTGTGCAATCCGCACTTAGCCGGTCACGAGCAGACATAGAGAGTATAAGGAGCGAAAAGAGGCTGCCCCATCGGCCGCAGATGGTCGCATTTTCACGACCCACGTGCGTTTTGTGGAAGCTGCCCGGAAGCGAATCGAAATTATCACCAATTTGCAGTCATCGAAATCCAATTATGGGACGTGTGTGAGACCGGTTCCAGCTCCGTTTGTAACCCAAGAGCGGTAGGTCCTCGAATCCTCCGCAGCCGAGTGTGCCATATGCTGGCTGCGAGATACCCAAAAGTGCAGCGCGAATCGGAATATCGCAATAGAAATGGGTGCAGGGACACTGTGCGACAAGGAATTGAAAACACATACTTTTGAAAATTCGTATCGACAAATCATTGATGAACTTCAATTGCCAAATACTTGCATTATTATTAAATCGTTATTAAACCCAGCAAATGCAATGGCAGAGTAATAGTGTCTTACTAACCACTAGCACTCGTTCAAAACCAGGCAAGACTGCTTCCCAACTTTGCAGCTCAGTGTAATCGGATTAGGCTGGCTGCAGTTTCCAGTTTCCTGGCCAACTGGAGGGCAGCACAGCGAAAAAACATAATTTGCGAGAATTGTCACACGACACGGCTCGGGGCACTTTGTAGTGACTTATTTGCAATTTGCGAAATGGAAGCGGCACCGAAAGAGGATGAAGGTCACTGGGAGTGGGGTTGCGCCCGGGCTGGCCAAGTGGAACTCGGCAGACGGCGCCCTAAATCATGCATGTCAAGTCGAGTAGTTGTCCCGTTTGCAGCTCTATCGAGCTCGTCATAATCGCCGCTGCGAATACGCATCATTATCGACTGCATTTCCCCGGGGGCTCGCCCCTCCGCCACCCAGAACATAATACACCCTCATCCTCCCCAGTTGTCGCTTAGTTCCGGCATGCGACAGATGCAACAGACGTGCAGACTTCCGGGGTCGGAGTTCCGAGGGATCTGAGGGTTCTGTGGTGCGACCGCAAGTGGTCTTAAAAAGGGCCACCCCGGTTCCGCCGCTCCAGCGCTGTCACTGCTCATTGTCAGCTAAGTGTCGTGGGGGTGGGGGCTTGGGTTGGGGGATGGCCTTGGGGTGGGTGGAAGTGGGTGGACGGTCAACAAGCCACGGGAGCAGGGCCTGCCCTCGAAACAGCGCCAAACATTTCCATTTTCAAGGGCTTAAACCCACTTTTTTGCACTCAAGCAACCTGCCAGATTGCGTCGGTGTGGGCGGCCAGGTGGCCATAAAAAATCCTTGCATGCACAGTGGGTCGCGATAGGGAAAAAATCGAATTCTAGTTCGCATTTAAGCGAAATTAAATTTTTCGGGATTCACACGTGCATATTATTAAGAATTTGTACTTGGTATTCCCCGTTTTATTGGATGGAATCTGGTTTACATTTCTTGTACTTCATAGAGACTGTTTTCCTTGATATGCATCAAAATTGCCAATGCACCACTGTGGTCGCCCTCCACCCACAGAGCACCACCACATCGGCAGCATCAGGAGCAGCACCAGGAGCAGCATCAGGAGCAGCGATGGCGGTGCCCACACAACAAAGGACAAACACACAGAGGCGATAAGACGAAAAGAGCGGAAAAGGCGGCTTCCGCTGCAGCTGCACTGAGATAAATCGGGCGATTGTTGCTTATTTCATTAGAGAAATAATAGGAAAGACAAACATGTACATGTTTGGAATGGAATGGAACATTTCTGCAATTTTCAAATTTGGCTTGGAAAGCCAACAGCTTTTGAATAAGCATCGCTATCAGCATTTCTCCAAGCGCATTTTAATATTTTGGATTAGGGAAAGATGGAAAGTTGGCCGAAAGGTGGAAGAGGGGGTGGAAAATGATTTCCACTTGGAAGCGACCAAAGGCAGCCGACACCCGCCAACAATAAAAGCAAATTCAATGCGTTTTGTGATAATTTCGCACTACACGAGAAACGATAAACCCAAAAGCAGACAGAGGACTCCAGAACCCAAGTGGGGGAAGGACCAAATGCTAGAGCCGTAAACGAGCGAATAATAAAAATTGTATATACAGCCGAAGGAGAAAAAATAATAATAACACAAAGACGCGGAGTGGAAATACATGGGTGTGAATAGTCAATGAGGGTCGGAAGTGCGGATGCGGCTGCGGATGCGGATCGCAGGGATCGCGGAGGAGGGGAAGTGCCATTCCCGCAAGGTGTCGGTGGTGGGGTGGCGGTGGTGGTTCATTCCTCGAGTGGTTGCAAATCAAACGGCAACAATGCAATCAAAAATTTCGGTAATCGGGTGGGTGCAAATTTAGTTATTGTCCTGGAGTCCGCGTCCCGTCCCGAGTCCTGGATGCGGAGTCCGGAATCCCTTGGGACTGCTTTGGCCATAATTTAATTCGGCTGGCCCATTATTTCATTAGTTCAAGGATGGCCCCTCGAAAATGTGCAATTTACTCGGGCATTATTCCAGCAATATAAGATATGGAAAGAGAAATGACTGGAATATTGTACAAACTGCAAATGGCAGCTAGACGCATAAATTAGTAAATTTCGATTTTGATTTTGCCAGTTTAATTGTTTGTCCGGATCCCGAAACACCGAAACAATGGTAATAGTCCTTGGTTAGGCAAACATGTTGTATCTTTGTATCTGCATCTGTTAGATAGGTGTCCGCTCGGGCTTCGGCCGGCCATTATACAAATATACTTGTATTTTGTGTAATTAACATTTATGGACAAAGAGTCCACACTGGTCGAGTCAAACGCAGTGCTCTGCTCGGATACCCAGAAATTATCAAAGCGAGTATATCAAAAATCCAATTTTCATTCAACAGCAGCCCGAAAGTATGCCTTTGTCCGGGCTTGGGTCTCCAGAGCCCCACACCCATCCGCCAGATACAGATACTCGAGTGCAAAAGTTTTTCTGGTCTTGAAGGGCCGGCCGTAGCATTATGCAAGCAACTCGCCGAAACGCACTTGAACTTCTCCTCCGTCCAGTGCAGCACAAATGCATAGGAACAATGGACATTAAGTTGATGTAAGCAAATGCAAAACTTTATGCAAATCGCCGGCCACCACACAACAAGGCACAACAACATGGCCAAGAAGCTGTCAGTCAGCCGGCCGAGAGCAGCAGAGCAGCGTCCAAATGGGGAACTGATTCTGGCCCGGATTGGAGCCACCGAGATGGAAGTGGCAAACACCAGCAAGTCAGAGCGATGCGCAAACTAATATTAGGACATCTATTTACTTTTTGATTGGCTGCACGGGTGGCTCTTTGAATAAATCTCAAATTAGGATAATCGGCTAGTTCAGTTAGAAGATTTCTAGCTTAAAATCAGCACGGAACTGATCATTTGTTGTATAAACAAATTCGTTAAGTTCGGTTTAACATAAGTGAAGATCGACTTCACTTCTAAAATTTATAATTACTTTTTAGGTCATTAATCATGTGGATTAGCAGCCTCGTTCGAAAACAATATTCTCCTGAAAGACCTCCGATTGAAGACCACCACTCATAGCTTGCAATAAAAAGGTTGACAACGAAATCCATCTGTTTAATGGGCTCGGGCCAACCCAGTGACCAAGCCCACCCACTTTGGCTTCATGTGTGCCCTGCCCCACGTGTCCACATATATGCCAGTCTAATCCCTGAGATTACAAAAGCCTTCCAGGGGCAAACTATTACGCTTGATAAATTCGAGATTAAAGTGCATTTGCAGACGGGTCGGGATCTTTGGGCCGGGCCACACGATTTATGGCCATACATTTGGAGGATTTCTTCAGTTTTCCTTGGCAGGATACTTGGGACATATCCAGAGTCCTTTTAATTATCACACGTAATGACAGCGCCAAATGCAATTGCTAATTAATTGCCTTGGACCCACTACTGGGCCGTACTGAATGGCGATGTGGGGTGAAATTTATGGCTTATACATTTGTTTGGCCCGACATTATTATTCCGACATGTGCGGTTATGGGAGATCTAGATCCATCTAATGCAATTTCCCCCTCTCCCGGAAGTGGTTGATGCGGGGGCGTTGCTTGACAAATGGGAAAATGCTTCATTAGTGCACCACCAAGGGGCTTAAGGGAGGATACCAATAGGAAAGTCCCCCAAAAAAGTAAATGTGTTTGCCCAGTAAACCTGCGACTACAACGCCATTGATGCCCAAAGCCAACTTGAACTTGAGACGCGATGAACTTGGTATTCGGGTTTTCAGGGGGCTAATGACGATAATCGCTCGGCGGCTGTCAAAATTGCCGCAGAATATAATTGCCAACTGGCCATAGAGAAGCGCTCGACGTTCCATGATTAACGATGAGAGCATTATGAAAAAGCCCAAAACAAAGCGAGTCGCAGAATCGAGAACAAAAAGCAGCAGCTGGATACAATGGAATCTCCAAGATACGAGCACAGCGGAAACTACCTCGAAACAATCACAAGATGCTAGCCGACCGATTAGCTTCAATTACTGGATCTACGCATAACGCTCAGATGCACCGTGCCCCACCCACGAATGCATCCACCACGTAACAGCAACAACTTATCCGATCTTATCCGCAAGCTGTAACAAGCCGTCAACAACAAAAGCACACTGCGAGAAAAGGTCCTGGTCCTTGCACGATTCCGTTGACGCAAGAAAATTCTTTAACCCTTTCTTGATCACAGCGTCTTTAGCCCTAATATTCCACTAGTATCTTCAAGTACTAATCAATCTAAGCTTTTAATTTGTAATTATTGGAACCCATCAAAGCAACGAATTAGCGATTCGTTGCGCATTTTTGTTTTCTGTGCAGAGCATCAGCAGTGTCTAAAACTTAAGTAGAGTTCAAACAAAAGCGCCTTTTTTCTGCTCACCAGCTCCGCCAGTTAATTTTAATGAATCTCCGTAGATATTTGAAATCAGCTTGCTGCTTTTGCCTCGCTTAGTTGTTGGTCGGCGGTTTTCAAGTGCGCACACGAGACGCGGCTCCACTCTCGAGATCTGTTTTCGCGGAACCTCCAGGGAATACCCATCAGAACACTCGACTCCCACGTGCCCAGCTCAACAACAATGAGCTCCTTCGCCGCCCACCTGTTGATATTGCTCTTTGGAGGCCTGCTGCTAACCCATCACTGCGTCCAAGGTTGTTCAAAGTAATGGATCAGCCATCAATCACGCGGCGGGAGAAGAAGTTCCTCCATGAGTCGGCTGGAATTTTCGGGAATAGGTGTGGCTCCGTGTCACTCGGTTGCAGGGAATTCCGGAACTCCGGTGGTGGGGAACTACGAAATAAACAATGCTATAGAATTCGAGGGTGAAGTTCGAGTGCAGGCAGATTTTAAAGCAATTAGCCTGAAGGTATTTGCCATTCATGTAACGCCCTGCAAATGGCTTATTGAAAGCGAGGTAGATTCATTTGATTAGAACGAAAGCGCAACTAATTCGCTTAGTAAGCATAAGAGACCATCCGTTTGCATTGGAATCATACTCCACCCCAAAAATACACACATCTCGGATGGGCTTACCGCGGCATGGACTGCACAATGGGCAGTACTCCATGCCCATCGAAGACTTGCTCGCTTGCTCTCAGCTGGAAGCCTAATTGGTTCCCCCGCCCAGCGAAATGCGACTCTGATTGTGACTAATCCCATAATTGTGGCGTTGCCCGTGCATATTCAAGTGCAACCTCAAATCGGTCAGCGGCAGCTCAGGTTGCAGATTAGTTCAGTCGGTTGAATCGGTGCGGTGCGGTGCGGTGCATATCCGTAAATAAGTCAGCGTGTGCTAATTGCATCACTTGTATGCCACGGATCCGCAGCACGCTCCAATTCGTGCGATTAAAGTCCGGAGGAGGTGGGACGACCATCCGGGTCCAGGGTGCATCCGTATCCGTGGTCGTGGTGTTTGCATAACTTTAATTAAATTTCTGCTAAATCTAATTTCCATGCTAAACCGAAAACAAACAACGATGCTGGCGTCGGATGGCAACCAGGTCAGGCGAGTAAAGTGTCCTCCAAGTTGGATTTCGATGACAGCGATGGCAGCAACAATCAGAATCAGACGGGCTCACCCGGGCAGCCCGGACAGGCGGGCGGAACTGGAAATGGGAGTTACGAACCGGGAACGGGACGCAGCCTGAGTGGTGGAGGAGGAACCTCGGGCAGCGGAACTTCCAGCGGGGGAAATCGCCCCAAGATCCACGGAGTACGGGTCACCGTCGATACTGGCGATGGACAGCAGCAAACGAAAGGTAATTAAATTCCCCCACTGCCACAACCCCGAAACTAACGAATCCGAGTCCCTCGGCGCACCAATTACAAAAATAAAATAAATACAGAGTCCAAGGAGAGCGTGGAAATTACGGATTTGGGCAAGCACAAGAAGCGTGTGGGCATCCACACGGACATCACCTTCGAAATCACCTCCGATTCGGACGGGAATGAGACCAGTTCCGCCCAGCAGCACGGCGACAAGGGTGAGTGGGCAGCGGAATCTGCTAGCAAACTAACTTTCCCTTCCTGAACCAATATTATCAGTACGGGAAGGGGTCAGGTACTCAGAGATTTGATTCGGAGAACCGTAGTAGCTTAAAAGTTTAATTAAAAAGAGAAACAACCCTATTTTCCCACTGTATTTTCAAAAAACGAACACCGCCCACAGAGGACGCCAGTGTGCCCATTTTCAAGGGTCGCGGTGGCAGCGACTCAAAGCACAAGACCCGCAAGCCGTATGATCCCAAGTCCCAGTGGAATCCCAACTTCTCCGGCGAGCAGCGTGGCTACCAGGGAGCCAATCGAGGTGGCTACCAGGGCTCTTATCCCCAGTACTATCCCGGCAACGTCTACACCGGCGGCAGCTCCGATGCAGGCAGCATCTACAGGAACGGCGAGACCTGGACGCACTACGTCCCGGTGTGGACCACGGAGCGGGTGCCGCAGGAACAGGGACAGCTCTACCGGCGGCCCAGCTGGAAGCCCTGCTACTGCATGTCCTCCACGGAGTTCAGACGCCGTCGGGATAGCAAGGCCAGAAGAGAGCAGGAGGATCACCACAAGGGTGTCATCAACAGTGGGGTCGTCCAGGTGGTGGATGGCAAGCTGGAGCGGCCCTTCTCGTGAGGAAAAGCCCTCTGCCCCAACCGGTTTCCACAATTTTGTAAAGTTAGGTAATGCGCGATTCTATTTAAAATAAAACTGTAGCTTAGTTTTTCTAGACATTTCATTTTACTGTCTTAATATTTGGCTTTGCCTTATTTTTCAAGCTGTTTCCGCTTGGTATACGTACCACATTTTGCTGATAACAACACATAACACTGTGAGAAATTTAAAGGTTTTATACAATTTAGTAAAGAAGGGATTTTATATAATACAACAAAAATGACTCAAAGGAATATTTAAAAAAATTCTGATTTTCTTTTGAAAAAATTAAAGTGACCGAGGTCTAACCGAATTCTGCGAAGCACACTGTACTGACGAAATAATAACATTCACAAAAAATGTATTACAAAAACTGAACTTGTTTTGAATTCGGCACTAAGTCGCACAAAGTCGAGCTTCGTAACTTGAGACTTCAAAGGCAGCGTAACGGATTTGAAACTAAGTAAATAATGTATTTTGTATTTCTTGTGAGATGAAATTAATCATGCAGATTCTAGGAACGAAGCCTACGAAGCTTTCCACATTTTTTACTTTTTTTCTGGCCAATTTCTATTATTATTAATTGCCTATTAATATTATTAATATAGTATTAAAAACACATTTTAGCCAAGTCCACTTTAACGCCTACAAATTACCATTACAATAATAGTAACCTCCGCAGTGAAATTATTTTCTTCTTGCATTTTTCTATATTGGAGATACACACTTCGTTACTAACAGAGTAACGAGTATCTGGTAGTCGAAACGTTCTCTCTTGTCTTGAGCTTCAAAATGTGTCAAATGTGTGTACGTAGTCATGCTCAGACACACCTGCATATATTTTTCCGTTTTGAGGTCGCTTCACGGTTTGATAAAAGATTCACCAGACATTTAAACAATTTTTTTTACTTCACATTATTTTACAACAACATTGCGAGCTGAGTATTTCACTCCCTAAGAACACGACAGGCGTAAAGATTTGGGTGCTGCTGTAGCCGCCTTACGAGTGAACACTGTGGGTTCCAAATTTGCCATTGTCATCGACGGAGGCCGTGACCGCATGGTATCCCGCCCGCTTTCCATTGATGTCAACACTTTCGCTCTCGCCGGTGACTAAGTCCTTGTAGTTGTTGGTATGGCCATTGGAATCGAACTGTTGGACAGGGAAAGAAAAAAAGATTATTGTAAAACACAGGAATGAGGACTCTCATCATAAAGTTGGTCATCAATTGCAGCGCAATTATACAGATGTCAAATAAAACCCACCGAGTTCTGGGAAGACCACTTGGACTGCTTCTCCCACTGCTTGGTGCTGTAGCCACTGCCTACGTTTCCGGCTCCTGCTGATAGGCCGGCCCCAACGTTGCTAGCTCCGGCCACTTGACCGGTCTGCGCCGCATTCAGTCCAAGTCCCAAGCTCTGCTGTCCGCCCAACAGGGATCCGCTGAGCAGCGACTGCTGTCCGCCAACCTGTCCGCTCAGCAGAGATCCTTGGCTTCCGCCCAGCAAAGATCCACTCAGCAGAGCTCCACTGTTTCCGGCACTGGCGGAGTTCAGGGAGCTGGCGGAGTTCAGGGAGCTGGCGGAGTTGAATCCAAACTGGGAACCAGAGTTGAAGGCCGAGTTGTAGCCGGAGTTGAAGCCTCCCTGTGCGCCGGAGGCGTAGCCACTTCCAGCCTGCACCTGGTTAGCGGATGCGCCTTGGGAGGCAGCCTGCTGGCGGGCAGCTTGCTGGGTTTGGCTGATTAGCTGGTTCAGCTGGCTGTTCTGCTGGAAGTTCTGGCCAAAAGAACCGCCAAACTGAGAGGTGAAGGCGGCATTGCTACCGAAGTTCGAGGCGGCATTGCTGCCAAAGTTGCTGGCGGCATTGCTGCCAAAGGAGGAGGCGGCATTCGATCCGTAGGTTAAGCGGCTGCTGGCAGCTGGCTGAATCAGTTGTGGTGCGGATGCCGAGGTGGTTACCTTGCGCTGATAGTAGTGGGCGGTTTGAACTGGGACCGTCTGCGTCACCTGAGTCTGGGCGGGCTGCTCGACAATACGCTCCTCGTGATGGACGTAACGCTGGGAGCCACCGGGAATGGTGTAGACCACCTGATGCGGGGTGGACACAATCTTCTCGTGCCTGTAATACTCGGAAACGGGGCTGGACTGCACGGTTTGCGCTCCACTGAGCAGCTGAGCACTGGTGTCCACGGCGTTCACTCCACCAAAGTTGACCTTGTTGCCGGCATTGGCGTTCTCAGCGAACTCCACATTGCTGCCCACCTGGTGGGCGGCGGTGCTGCCGAAGTTGGAGGCGGCGCTGCTCTGGAAGGCGGCGTTGCTGGAGAACGAGCTGCCGAAGGAGGCAGCGTTCTGGGTGCCAAAAGAGGCAGAGTTCTGGGCGCCAAAACCGCTGCCAAAACCGGCGCCAAAGTTGGAGCCGAAGGAACCAGCACTTCCCACACCAACGTTCTGCGTACCAGCAGCTCCACCCAAAGTCTCCACGGCACCACCTAATCCTCCAGCGGAGGCACCCTCGACGGACTCAGTGGCACCCACGGAGTCGTAGGAGCTCTCCAGGTTTCCCAAAGCCGAGCCATCAACCTGACCGGAGGCTCCTCCGAAGCCAGCTCCAAAACCACTGCTATAGCCTCCTCCGTAGCCAGAGTTCTTGCGAGCCTGCTCCACCGCCTGCCCGTGGGAACTGTAGTGGCTGAGGATTAGGTCAGTTAACTTAGTAATGATTTCTAGCGCAGGAAACGATTGTCATTGGGGCTTAAAAGGATCTCTAAATCAACAAAAATGTAGTTTCCAATGCAGTATTGATAGATAAGTTAAAATAAATTATATATTTGCAGTTTTGTTGATTTTAGAAATATTTTTACCCAGTGATCTATGATATTTATCTACAGTTATAATTTAAAATTTTGAAGTACCATGTCAGCCAATGGGGAAATTTCAATTTTCTCGATTCGGAAATGAAAGATCTTCAACATTTGCAACAAGGCACTTACCGAGAGTGAAAACTGTCGCGTTTGGTTCTGGCCAAACTTTAGGATTTTAAAATTGAAAACAAACCATTAGATCGTATGTTAAATGGGACATTTTAAATCAAATTACCTGGATTGGAAATCTGTAAGGATAAAAAGAGAAAATGCGTTAGGTATCGTACCCAAATATATTTTAAAATTTCATTTTTTTACAACTTAAATACGAAATCCATAGCTTTTAACTGGTAACACTGTCATTCAAATTGATTTCCCATTCACTGAAGAACTTTTATATTTCCGTAGATCTGCGGCTTATTGAAATACCCTTTATTTTAGCACGTTCAAGGGAAAATAGTGTATTTCGGTCGGTTTACAATCTCCTATCGCCACACGCGCCATAAATTACACAATTTCAGGGTGTTGTGTAAATATTTCATTCAGGGAAAAACAAGTGCCACTGACGACACTGCGATCCACTGCACTGATAGGCAGTCTCGAAAAATTGGATCAGCTACATCTTAGGTGCAATTCTCTGGATTAGCTTATTTCGGAACAGTGCACTACCTCCACAGACCACACCCAGGCAAAGGGCCAAGACCAGCAGCTTATTCATTTTGGCAGCACTTTTTTTGGTAGCTCTTGACCGAAAAATACGTTAGGCACTCGCGATTAAAATTGTACTAATGCAATCGAGCGAAGGGAGCTCCGCTTTAAAGCCTCAGACGGCGGTGATAAGAGCCACTTATGTATAACTCAGTCTTGAACTGATTGATTTCTGACCTAGAGAGAATGCCACTGATAGTACACGTAGAATTGGAGCTCGCAATTGGTGCAGAAAGCCGGGTGATGAAAGTTAATTGCGACATCATCGCCCTATATAGAATACGTGTATTTTCCATATTCAGTTTTTATGATCGGCGGGGAACCTTGCTCAAGAAACGCAGAGTATGTAGTTGCCATGTATGGCCATTATCACTTTTGCGATTACTTACATATACATATAATTTATGTTTATAGGTGGAACACAATGCTAATGAGCTCCCATTGAACTTAGAAAAACACCCCGAGCAAGGTGAAGGAATATATAGAAAAAACCTTGAGCTTCAAATTAAATTCAGGAAGTACTAACATTCCTTTCAGACGTAATTTGCTAAATTAGCCGGTCTTATCAAGACCTTTGAAAACCGTAATGCGTCTTACTAATTTGGAATAAGTCCCGAAATAAGATACAATCGTAACTGGGAAGAGATTCTTTATAATACTTGTTTCCTTACCTTCTTAAGATATTTTGTTTACTTAAATTGAAACCATGTCCTAAAATTTTCTAAGTTCGCAATCTTTAAGGACGTGTCTCTAGCTTCACTTAGTCTTGAATAAAGAACACGATCTTGAAACTTAGCCACTTTATATAGAATCAACTTCAATGCGATAGAACATTTCCGGTCACCTTTGATACGCCCATCCGTCCAATAAAAACGGAAACATTGAAATAAAATAAGTAAATATAATCTTGCTGAAATAAAAATACAACACATTTATATACGTATTGGCATTGATAGGCCAACAGCAACGTCAAAATCAAGGTTAATATACAAATGTATATACAAATTTGCATTTTTTGACTAAGGCAGAAAAGGAGAATGGAACTTTCTACTTATAGAAAGCTTCGCCATAGGCCCCTCCGATAAGAAAGCCCATCAACTTGACAATAAAATACGCGTATATTATTTATATATTTTATACATATTCAATGGGATCGGCTTGCCTTGTCAGACCGGTAAATGTTAGCCTAGCCACCAGAGGAGGGACTCCACCGATCTTCCTAAGAGTGCACCGAATACGAGGTGACCTTTCCGTTGTCGTTCACCGTGGTCTGGGCTCCACGTCGGCTGGTTCCGTCTCCGTTGCTGTGGCTGTATGACGAGACCGAGACGCCCTTGTAGCCACCACCGCTGCCACCGCCTCCTCCGGAGCTGCTGGAGCTGGAGAACGAGGATCCACCAGCGCTTCCGCCTCCAAAGCGATTCACAATGTTGGGAGAGGCCTGTGAAAAAGGAATTTACCGTATATTAGTTGAATCAGCCAGTTGACTATGCGAATCGGTAAGCTATTTTTATAATATGTTGGGATCTGTTAAATACAATTATAATTTAACCTTTTGACAAACCAACAATTGCAGTAAAACAAACGTAAAGTGACGTAAAGTTCGACTTATGTTCTTGGTCGAGAGAAGGTATATGGGTTCCTTACCGGATTGGGTGGGCTAATAAAGGCCGTCTGGCGATAGCCATTGGAACCGATGGATCCGGAGGCAGAGGCATAGCTGGGTGCATAGCGATGTGAGTTGTAGGATCCAGATCCTGATCCAGATCCAGAGCCGGATCCAGAGCTCGAACCGCCTCTGTACCGATTCTGGCGCACTAGATTGTCTTGGTAGGCCTGCTGAGCGGCGATCTGTTGCTGGATGCGACTGCGCAGAAAAGGAAATTAGAGTAAGGAATACCATTGGGAACCCGGAATTAGTATTGGGATTAGCTAAGAACTATGGACTTGTATTTACATATCGTTGTCGTCGACAAGAGAAGCATCCGCGGATGCATAAGCGTTGCCAGCCGTGGCCAGACCAGTTATAGCTCTACAAGAACAGATATATTCAAGCGTTAGGTTTACCCTTAGCCCGCCGTATGACTACCCAAAAGCCCCAGACAATATAACCCCTGGATATGATCGATGCTCACTGTTGGTTAGCATAGTTCTGGGACAAAATATGATTCGTCAGCTGCTGGTGGAAGAGATACGGATCGATGATGCCAAAGTTGGGTGAGGTGCCGCCATAGTCATCGTAATCGTTGTAGCCACCACCACCACCAGCAGTACCCACATAACTGCTGTGCCCACCGCCGCTGTTGTAGCTTCCAGTGTAGCCGCCGGCTCCTCCTCCACTACTGGCATACCCTCCGGCGTATCCGCCGGCGTATGCTCGTCGTCTGCGGGTCGGACCCGTTTTTGCTGAAATAAAGGAAAATCATGTGGATGATAAAAAAATTATTTGCAATATATTGAGCAAAGTATTGTAGGATTTCATATTGTTCACATTTATTATTATACTTTAAAAGTGGTACCCATTGCCCGTACAGAATGAGTGTATAACAGGTACAATGAAGCGTTTCCAAACCAATCAAGAATAAAGTATTCTTAATAACGATTACTAAATTGTTATTTTTCAGTTTTATATTTTTCTGACTACTTCTATCGTTAGCCAAAATAGTTTTGAAATGGGTATCTGATAGTCGGAGAAACAGCCTACGGCGTTCTCTCTTCATTTGATTTATTTTAAAAACTATAGTTTTATTATGATTGCGGATATAATAACTCTTACCTGCCGATGATTCTTCATTCAGAGCACTCATCACCACACAAATAAGCAGAACCTTCCACATATTTTTAGCTGGGCATTTGCAATTGGACTTAGGACCTGGGGTGTAAAAAATAAAACAATGGAATCATTAAGAACTGGTTTCGACAAGTAGTGTAAATACAACTTGTGTGCGAAAAGATGCATATTTTAAAGCCTACAAAATTTAAAGTCGTTAAAACGGAAGTGGGAATTGATTGGCTGACATATAGACGTCTAGATGGCTTAGTGTTATATAAGATCCTATCTAGAGGTTGTCCAGTAGCATCTGCTAACAACTGGGAGCTGCTGCCTCATTGCCCGATACTTTCACATCCATTGTCATTAGCCGCTCGGGGCAGAATCCATAAATCCGCCTGCACCAGCCGGTAATATGCGCGATTGTAACATGCGGAATAGGGGATGCACTGCCAGTAATCGATTCTTGGATGCCCAGGCGAGGGTCATTGGCTTCACCCCCGCCTAACTGGACACGAAGCTTAAGGCCCGTAGACTGCAATTACAATCAATTCATATACGAGTATATTTTTCTAGCCCAACCCACAACTAATTGCCCTTACACGATTTTCCCATAATGAATTGGCGAAAAGAAATCAGATTCGGGGGCACGGTTAGAGGGAGGAGGGCCTGGCCATCCGTATCGAAAACAAAAACCCCAAAATGCAAATTAATGGATCTCCATCTCCATATGACTGTGTATATTATTGACTCAATTCAGTGGCCGTCTCCCACACGAGAGAAAGAGAAGAACGAACCGGTTCTCACTAATTTGTTCAGAGTTTAGAAATGTATATTGAATGTTTTGTTTTGTATTTTATTTTGATTTCCCCCTTTTGCCAGCCATCTGATATTTTCGGTGCGCCATTTATATTCCAATCTGTCAGCGCTTTGTTTGTCATTTCTTACAGAAGTTTATTAAGTTGCCATTAGGAGCGGGGATTTTTGAGTTCCACAATTGGTGTGTTCTAATTGAATAACTTTGAGGCTGAGCAACCGGTCTGAAGATGATTTATAATTTCTGTTGATGCACCAAAATATTAACAATTAACAGCTTTGTGCGCGGCTCTGTCGAAACAATGGAGCTCGACTAAGAAGCACTCCCGATGACCGAATGTGTTTTGTCATTTCGCCCCTGACTTTGATGATCACCATTAGAACACATCATTAGAATTCCGCTGATAAGACCGACTACATACACTTCCCAGCACGGAACCAAAACTGCGCAACGAATTGGCAAAACTATCGATGTTATATGGCCGAGATCGTCGGGAGAGGGGATCGATTTCTGTACACACAGATAGAGAGTCCCGCGCGAGATAGAGATACAAAAACCACTGCGAACTCACTCACTTGACTCACTTGATTTGTTTATGATTCGGTGGGTTCTTGACCAGTTTTGTTTTCCGATCTCGGTTCCGGACTGCGATTCTCTCGCACTCGCCGATCGACAACTGGGCAACGTCTGAGTCGGAACAGGTGGGCCCAGGTCCTCTTATAGGCGATCGGACACCTGTGGACTGCCCGCTGCGATGACGACGCCTAGAGAGTGGAGACGCTAGCGAGTCACTCGAGCCGGGGATTTATAGTAAAATCTATAGATGGGATGCTCGCTGGCTGAGTGATTATAATAAAAAGAAGCAACTTTTAGATTTCCTTCATTAATGAAATCATAACTTTTGATGCAAGCCCAACTATCTTGCTATGCCATTTTGGCCACCTTAAAACTTCATAGCTACAACGTTGTAACGCAAAATGATTCTCATTTATTTAACTCGTTTATATACATAAATACTTTTATCTCAACGCGTTTAACCGTAACATAGTAACAGATCTCATCTTAAAGTACTCGAATGTGTGTTATAGTTGGCATATGAATACAAAAAAAACGTTTCACTAGGAGCAATGCGAATGTAGTTGGCCATTGTACCTGATTATCAAGGGGCAACACCAGTTCCGATCTAACTCGAAGTCAGGCACTTGGTTACTAGGTGGAGAACTAGGTGGTAATCCTCACAGCTTGGACTGGGCCTGCGGAATGATTACGTCACGCCACCAGGAGGGTCGCTGGAACGCCCCCTCATTGGTCATAAATTCGTTCTGCAAGTTCTCGTAGAGGAGTCCATCCGCGCGGGCGATGACCGAATTCAGTGCGAAATCGGGTGGCGAAATGGCATCCGCTACGCTCACAGCCACGTCCTTCAGCTTCAGGCAGCTGTCCAGCAGCAGCTGACGCACTGCAGCCGAGAAATCCCGCCCAGCCGCAAAGCCACCCACATAGAAGGTGGTCATGTGCTTCTCCAGCAGCCACATGGCATACACGTCGAACAGCAGGCGGAGTACGGCTGCATAGGACGCCTCCACTGTCAGCGTGCTAACGTGGTCCACATAGCGCGTCAGAGCATAGTACTCCGCGTAGGCCAGGGACAGTTCCCGTGCTCCGGCCACCTGGGAGTTGTTTCTCGCCTCGAACTTGCTGCTTCCCGCCGCCAGTTGGCCCTCGATGTGAGCCGTGGTTTTGGCCATCAGGTGGCACAGCAGCCACTCGTAGCACCTTAGGGAGACTGCAGGAAGACGAGCTCTTTAGTCAAACAATCATAGCACCACAAATAAGGTAATAGCTAATAATACTATTTCTTCGAATCACAATTATTTTTAAAAACTACTTAGATACTTGTTCTGTCTTCAGATTCTGAGCTCAGTGATTTGTAAAAACCCCCTTGATGAATGAAACTAAAGCTGCCTAACGCACAGATATCTAGCATTTTTTGAGCATTTATGAGTCCGGGAAAGTCATCTACTTACACTGCCAGCTGGTTACGGGAGTTCTCTGCACCAAGGACGCATAGTTGAGAGCCAGTAACTCCTTGCGGCGCTCCAGGAATTTCACACTGCCAATGGGTGTCTCCAGTTGCTTGGCGCCCCACTGGCGCAGCAACCAGTTGGAAGCCTGTTGTCCCAGGACATTGTTATCGCCCTCATAGGTGCACAGGGGGTCGTGGTCGGTGCGCATCTGGCCCAGCTTAGCTGCTGCCAGGTAGCCGTGTCCTCCGCAGGCTTCTCGCGCTTCCTGGATTGCATCCCGTGCTGCCCAGGTGATCAACGGCTTCGACGACGAGATCAGGGCATGGATCTCCGCAGCATTCTGGGTCTAAACAATGCTTTCGTTAGAGGTGCTAATGGTGCGACATACAGACAACCCACCAAAACGTCAAATCCATTGGAATCCGCCTGGGAACGTGCTATGATCTCCATGTAAGTGGTGGTCAGCTCCTCAGTGGCGATTTTTTGGACGCAGGCAGCCGCCAGATAGGGAAAGATGCGGTATTGCTGGGGAGGGATTTCAATGTAGGTTAAATATAAATATATTTCAAAATATATAGTGAAATTAAGTATGAGTAATTAACTCGACTTACATGCAGCTGGTACTCCAGAATGGCCATTTCCTCGCCCTGACGCTCCGGGCCAAATTGCTTCCTCACTGCGGAGTACCGAACCGCGATTACTGCGGCACTGCACAAGGTATTGGCCGACTCCTGCATGATGCCAATGCGCCCGGCGGAGAAGCTCTCGAGGGCCGCCCCAAGGACCTTTCCCGGTTCGGTGAACACACTTTCGTAAGCCCCCTCAGGAGTCACGTCACTGGTGCGGTTGAGGAGGTTGTCCCGGGGAATGCGGTAGTTGGTGAACACCACAAATCCGTTGTCAATGCCATTCAGGCCACACTTCTCCCCAATATCGCCGACCAGAACACCCGGATATGAGAGCAGCGTCTTGGGATCGCGAATGGGAATCAGGAAGCCGTGCAGCCCATGATTTTGGCCATCAGCTGTGTAGAGATTGGCAAATGTCATGGCCACCGTGGCCATTTTCCCCAGATTGCCCACCCAGCACTTGGCCGCCTCAAAGTCTGGGGTATTGATCACAAACTCCTGGGTGCTCGGATCATAGGTGGCCGTTGTGCGGATGCTCTTCGTGTTGCTGCCATGCGACAGCTCTGTGATGGCCAGGCAGGTGATCACCTCCCGATTCCAGGCTGCCTCTATATATTTCTGGTGCTTCTCCGTGCCCATGGCACGGATGGCATTGTTGAATAGGCCCACGCCCAGCGCTATCTTCACCGATAAACTGGGCGAGTAGCAGGCCAACGCCTCGTTGATGTACATCAGATACTTCGTTTTGGCCGAGAAGCTCAGGCTCTCGATCTCCTTGGGCACCAGGTCCAGGTGCTTCATCCGATTCACCTGCATGGCGCACAGGCGCTTCTGCTCGTCCATGGGCAGGGTCCGGGAGGGGTGGGCAAAAAGGGGGTCATTCTCCAGGCGACGCCACACTTTGTACTACAAAAAAGGGAAATTTTAAATAGGAGTACTTTTAAGGATCTTGTAATAGGGATATGCGTGAAAATGGGCCTAATTTAATTAGTAACATTCTTATTTATTTGGTTTGTGTATGTGAAATCGTTGAAGTTAGGCTGAAATATAATAAAGTATCTGAATCATTCACCAAAACTCATAACATGCCTAATCAGTGATGCAATTCGAAATATCAGTTATTAATGAAATATATTGGAACACATTAATCAAAAGTAAAAGTTTGTATATATAATGTATAACAAAAATGAACATTTTTTTAACGTGTTTCTTAAGAAACTAAGATTTTAATTTAATATGGCATAGCACTTTATTTGATAATGCCCTTTTCATGACTCTAAAAAGGTAAGCCATAACTAAACGATTTTGTAAGCTGTTGTGTAAGACACAAACCATATAAATTATCTTTCCAAGAGATAGTCATCCACTTACCTTAATTCGCAATCCCTGCTCCTTTTCGAATATCAGTCGCAATCGCTTCCAGTCAAAATTGGCCCTCTTTCTGTAAGCGGCCAATGGCCCACCGCTGGGAAGATCGGGAATAAAGCTTGTGTCCTCGCTGGCCATGATTTGACTTCTTGAAGAAGAAAGGAAATGGGAACGTTATCGGATCAGTGGAGCTGTTGACGACCAAGAGGCTATAGAACGACTGCGATCTAAGCCAAACGCTTAAATGGCCGAGACCAACCAGACAACCCAGTCAACAAGTGGGGCACTCGAACTGTTTTATCTACAAGCGTGCAAGCGACTGAAGCCGTAGTAAGGAGAACCCTCAAGAGGCGCGGTTTTAGGGCCATTGTTCGCCAGCTGAACAGTTTTGTGTGCACTGTTCTCAGCTAACACACTTGTACGCACACAGAGAAGTTTCAAACCATTGTGAATAGGCTTAGTTAGTTCCACGCCCAAAATGAGAACAGAATATAACAAAATAAGTGCTTTAAAACTTTATGTTATATTGAATGAATAATCAAGTTAGCTTTGTTTGTAGCAGTAACAAAGTTAAGAATAAGAAGCAAATCTTGAATTATACTTCAAGTATAACTACCACAAAAATAAATTATATTTCATGTAACACTTTTGACCTGATCCAAGATCATGTCCCTGCAGTGGCAAAACGAAGTGGTGCGCATTACGCGCCAAGTGAAGCGCAATCTACCGCATCGAAATTTCCGAGAGATTAACTTTGATCGCGAGACCATAAGGCAAGCAATCACTCCACTGACCTACGATAAGGCGCGCCGCATCAAGGGACCAGTTTTCGAGGCTCTGGAGGACGAGTTGCGCCGGGCAGGATGCACCATGCTGCCGGAGTTCCTCCACTGCCTGGCCACCAAGGAGAATGCACTCTTCGAGAGCCTGAATATCCGCGAACGGCTATCCGATGATTCGGAATTGCTCTACGGAATGGTTGATCGCCTCCGGGATGCCGAACTCGCCGTTTGCCTGCACAAGCACCGGGGTCTGAAACAGTGTTTCGGCCTATTCTTCGAGACCATGCAGCTGCTGGAGCCGTACCGTCAGAAATACGCATACGCCCTGGTGGCCCTCAATGAGCACATCATCTCGCTGTGCCGCAACATTGCCGGCCAGGAGCGGGAGGCCGCCGAGTACATATCCCGCATCTACTACATCTACTCCATGTATCTGGTGAACACGGGTCAGCGTACCTCGGCCATCAATTACCTACAAATCGCCATGGATCTGGTGCGTGGTCACGTGTGGACCGCCGAGGTGGGAATGCCCGCAGGCAGCCTCACGCTCCACGAGCTGGTGGCCCAGAATCTCGCCAGGCAGCTCCTCATCCAGGGCAAGTCCATTGTGCGCCAGCACCCCGAAGATGCGGTGGCCATGGCCCGACGGGCCACGGTCCTTATAGCAGAAAGTAAGTTATACCATAAAAAGGCTTGACTGAGCCTATTTATTATGAAATTCATAACCGGCCGCTCTTTCAGTTGGCAGGGATAAGAACATGGAGATTTTCTGCGACACCTTTCTGGAGCGTGCCTACTTCTTGATGGAGATTGGCAACTTTAACTCGGCCCAGCAGTGTCTGGACCAGATCAAAACCCAGATCCTGGCCTGCACCGAGTACCGATTCGTTAAGCTCAACATCAAGTACTACCTGTTCCAGGGACAATGTTCCGAGATGTAAGTAGGCTTATTAATTAGATCCTCCAGAACTGCAAAACTCCTTTTTAACCGAAAGTTTTGAGCACGTGGAGAAGGCCATTTCGTGTTATAAGCGAGCTCTTCGCTTATCCCGACTGTATACCCACCGTGATTTGGAGGCGGAGATACTTTTGCATCTGGGGAAGATCTTCGCCAAGGACACCCAAATGACAAGCATCGCTAAGAAGTGCTATGAGCACGCCAAGCGCATCTACGTGGACTTTAACGATCTGCACAGCCGCAAGATGGCCAATTACCTGCAGGCCAAGTTAATGGCGGATGAAATCACACCTCTTTACATGGCCATGCTCAAGTCTTCGACCACTCGGTATTGCGCCTTTTTCAACCTACGTCAGTGGAAGAACCGCTGTCGTCCCTTTTGGAAGCGACTGGGCGACGAAATCATCAAACAGGAAACGGATAGCATCTACTGTCTGCTGGATGAGGAGAAAGAGGATCCAGGCCACGATGTGGCACCTTACGATGATGTCGACCTCAAGACTTTCAAACTGGCTGAGGGAGACATCTAAGCTCTGCTCCTAACAAATTTTATTGCTTACTTCATCTATTTGCGGCTCCTAATTGATCTTTAGGGAGTAATACTACATTTTCGGAACGGAATCTTAAGTTTGATCAAATAACAAGTTTGCTTTCCTTTACTTATTCAGCTGACTGAATTTTACCCCATGCCTAAAATTATTTGCACACATCAGAGTTGTGGATTCCCTCGATGAAGTACTGCCCATAAACGGTCGAGTGTATACCTATACCGAAGATAATCAAATCCTGCGCATAATGCACGAATTTATTGACTCCCGATATCTCAGGTATTTGATCAGGCATTGCATTGCAAACCTTTGGATGTCCGAAATATAAATAGAACTACTAGAGCTAAAGTCCACTCGGTTTTGAATTACCATGAATCAACGAACATGAATCGATCATCCGGTAATAAAGTACACGTATTCTAAGCGGGAAGATCAAAGGTGAAATCATCAGTACGGATAATCTATAAATAATTGTGGAGTGGCATACAATTCCTTATAGCTGATATAGTTATATCAGTTTACCGTCTTATCTTAATACTTAATTACATATGTGTCAACATTGTAGGTGGAGTGGACTTTGATTTGTCCACTTTTCGGTTCTCAGAAATCGTAAATTTTTGATAAGGGAAAGTTCGAATAGTCTGTTACTATACCGCCATCACTTTTTTAAATCCATTAGTCATTAACAACAACTTAAGTGTGTTTAATTCATTTAGAAAACGAAGCTGTTTGCAAAAAAGGTAATTTATGACGCAAATTCTTCAGGCTGTTTCGTTTCATAAAATACCTAAAATACAGAGAAAAAGTGGGCAATAGCATGTTTTATTTGCATTCAAAATAAAAGCGAGCCAAGCTGACCATTCGGTATCAACCTCCAGCTAATTATAACAATTAGCAATAATTACTCCGGCAACGCGGCAAACGCAGAGATAAGTTCTTATTGTCTAGGTTCGGGAACTTTTCGTTGACGAAATGTTCGAGCAAGAGGCAATAAACCAGTTTATACGGCTTTCTCAGAATATTTAGTGCCACACTTAATTAGCACAACTCAATTCGCAATCTGAGTTATGTACTCGCACCCAAGAGTCACCACAATCTAAATTTTTGCGCAATCACGAGGAAAGCACGCTCCACTCGGAGTTGTTTGCTTGCACTCGACAATTTAGGAGAACAATGTTGGGGCGCTTTGGAAAAGTAAATAAGTTGGAATTTTAAGCGGAAATGGAAGTCGATTACCCTAAAAAGGGGCGTGAGTCGCATGAAACTGAAATTGTGAGTGTGCTCAATGTGCGGCATATGCAAATCCAAACAAACCCAGAAACAGCGATGAACAAACGCAAAACTGATAAAGTTTCGGCAGTTGGAGCAGCACTGAACAGCTGCCAGCCAAGTGGCAGCAAAACTTTTGGCTTACGTGATAAGCCAGGTAGAATTTGTGGCCAGGTGACGATGTAATGAGCGAAACCCATTAGTCCACCCAATCGCCATTGCGTGCCGTTCGAAACTGTCACAATTTGTTGGCCAACCACCCGATTTTGATGGGGGTTCTATCGTGAGTCAACCTTGAACATGAAAATAGCCGGCGTTTATTTTTGTATGTACTTGTATGCCGACTCCCTTTGAATCAATCAAACTGGGCTTGGCCGAACCCACTGACCCCACTTTTTTAAATGAATTACAATGCAAGTGCAGCGGCTAATTTCACTCTTACTTACACACTTTCCAGACAAATTAGCGCACAATCAACACTCCGGCACAGAGGGGCCTCCATTGTGGCCAAATCAAGCCCAATTGAGGCTGACATCACGTACGGTGAAAGGCCTAGTTCAAGAACTTTGTTGGAGACTGTAATTAAGCGTGGAACACTACTCTGCATTGAATACCCAGATGACTATAACAATTCATATAAACCTATTGGTATAATATTTGTTTTGACGGGAATGCGAGTAGTCATTATAAAACACATCAGTAATAGCTGAAGTGGCGCTATAAACAGAAAAAGGGGAAAACCATCACTCACTGATAAAACTTCATATAGGGGCTATAAGCAAGATAGAAATAAATGTTCTAGCTTTTAACTGGTGCGTGCCTAGGGCTTTCACTGTAGCGCCAACACACCCTGTACGCGACTTGTTTGGCTAAGGACTCGGGTTCAGTTTGCCGACTGCCTGTATTACATCACCGCGAAAACAACAAGTAGGTAGAAACGGTTTGGGGCCCAAAAGGCGGGAGAGAGAATCGTGAAAAGAATCGGAGTTGGAAAATTTGGGTTTGGGTCTGGGCCACGTGAGAGATGCCCTCGATGCATCTGTGTGCGAGCCGCCAACCTGTAGCGCTTCTTTGGGCCCGCCCTTATAGTTGTATTCTCCCGATGAAGTTTCGCTATGACCATGTCCAAAAACTGGACACTTTTAATCAGCTGAGCTCACAAGACCATGGCAATTAATCCAAATTTATACATACACACCCACCAACGCGGAATTTAAGCAGCAGCAACAACACCAACCGGCACACGACCGCGAGAGAATCGAGATTCGGGCAGCGAGAATTGGAGAATTGGGGAATAAACGAACCGACACGGCCAACTGATGGAAAGTGAATGAGCCGAAGAGCGAGAATAACGCCGCCTGATTCTGATTCACAGCACTCGTAGTATGGGAACCCTACGGTGTTTCATAGGGGCGAGTCCCATATGCACAGGGAGAAAATGAACAGATGGTTATCTTTTTAATCTAGCAATTGTTGCGAGATGTGATCTACCTCTTCTCACCAAACATCGCATGCTGCTAAAGAGCGTTAGGTAAGTATGGATGGCTCAAGTTGGCAGCCCTGGGATCCAACAAAAATGCTTATATGTTTATGAGAAAGGGGATGTTATACATACCCCAGTATAATTTTTGGGTTTTTTTCGTATTCCTTTGATTTCTGTTACCCTTTCCTCATATAACCTTTCTTTCAGTGTACTCCCTGCTCTCTCTCCTGGGGATGTATGCTGAATAGGGGTCGGGGGGTCGTGGTGGGGTGTGGGAAGTGGGTCGCTGAGAGCTGGGCCAGGTTCTTCTTCTTCCCCTTATTCTGCCTCAATGTCAAGTGGCTGTTGCCAGAGCGAGAGGGTAACACAGCATTTGTTAACCGGCCGGCATCGTTGCACAGCTGTGTGGGTGAGCACGGCATCAACCAGATTCGGATAGAGAGAGTGGGAGAGATGCGAATACGAATACGGATACGGATACGGATACGGATACGGATACCCGATACACAGAGCAGAGAACTGTGCGCGGGTTCGGGTCTCGGCTTATCACGACTGCCTTTGGTGTCAAACTTTTTGATTTCGATTTTGCATTATCTATTTTGTACAACTTTTTGAGACTTTAACTACTGTGAAAAATCTTGGTACCCAGAATAATTTATATTTAGATCACAGGTTTATAAATCATAAATATTGTGTTAGCTGGCGGCTGAAATTCGGCCAAGTCACATAAGTATTTCATCATAAAAGTATGCACCAGTATCTTGTGTCTTTTAATGAACATAAACATGCAGCAAAACGGTTTAGCCAAGGTTTTCCTCGGCTTTATCGGCACCTGCCCTTGAAGAAAATCAATCCGCGCAATAGACAACCCAAAATACAGAATATGGTTTCTCTTATTTATTTATCATTCGGTTCTATGGTCTTTTCTTGTTGAACGAGTAGCAATATCAAAATGACCAACATTATTGATTAGGATTAGTGTCTGCTAATTGATTACGATCGCATTCTATTATCGTATCCTGTTCGGATGGCGTTAATTAAATTACTAAATTGACTCGGTTATACAAAGCACAGATGCACGGTAAGTAGGTGTACAGGTGCGTGGGATTGGGATTGGGTTCGTAAATCGTATAAAAAACAGTATTATATGCGTAACTAGAGTTTGGCAGCTGCGAATTCATCCGAAGATCTTGTCGAAGCAGGTGTGGCAGTATGGCTTGTCCTTCTGCTCCTTGAAGGTGCCCTTATTCAATTGCTTCAGGCAGAAGGCGCAGACGAAGTGTTCCGGGTGGAATTTCTTGAACATGGCCGTGATGCAGCGTCCGGTGATGGGTTTGGAGCACCCTGCGCACAGGGATCCTCGCTTGGCATGGTAGTGCGTCTCGCAGTACGGCAGTCCCTCGTGGTCAAAGAAGGATCCTCCCTGGAAGGGCTGTCGGCAGTCCTGTAATTAACAAAATTAAAGGTTCATAAGTAGAACACACATAATATTATTTATACTTATTATTTATCTTAGGCGTGTTCTAGGAATACTCAAGGTTTATTGTTTTAAGCAAGAACTAAATAATCGAAAGCTAACCAATTCATTGCCATAAACATTTTTGGGAATCGCATATATAAGCACTTGAAATGTTTACTGCGCCTCAAGATCAGTACCGCACTGTCCTGATCTCTAGTTGTAAATATGATTATTTGTGCTTCGGCAATGTAGGAGAGGTATGAGAATGATGTATTACGGGCCAAATGGCGGTGCAGCCTCTGTCTGGGGCTAATTACGACCATAAATTAGTTGCCATATAGCATGACGGACCAGCAAACCGATCGGGAGCCGACTACATAGTATGAGCTGTGCAAAATTTTACGCCTGGCCTAAAATACCTAATTAAAATTCAGTCGAATCGAAAAAAGCGACGAACGGAGGAGCTCTGCACGGTGCCTAGCTAATTGGAAAACAAAGATTGTACATTTCAAAAACAAGATTCGGGTAAATTTAAATATGATAAATATTTGAAAAAGTGCGGCAAAGTCGCTTCGTTCTTTCTATTTCCTTTTTTCGGGGCCTTTTGGAAAAACATATCAACAGCAGCAGCAAGAACACCAACAATTGTATTAAGACAATAACATTTTGCGCACGCTTTTGGCCAGCTTCCAAAAACAAGGGGTATTGAAAGTGTGGAGATGTGGCAGGGGACAATATCATCCAACCGGCAACAGCGATCGAGACATGGAACGAAGGATCATTGAGAACGAGAATCATGATATCTGCGGCGGAAAAGCTATTTTCGTTTTTCACCACCTCATACAAATCAATCAATCCATAAACAACAGGTGCAACAATTTCCCTAGCCGTTTCATAATTTTCCTTTGTTGATTATATGAAAGGAAAACCATAAGTGGGGCACAGCAACCAAAATGAAGCCAAATAATCAATATCAACATGAACTAAAAATAAAACCAAATATATGGTATAAGGCACGAATTTGCAACACTCAATGGAGAATTTCAATGATGTGTCTTATATATATTTAAACAGTGCTTGCATTGTAATGGTTCAGCTATTTATAGACGGGCATTTTAACTGGGCAGCTTTATTCGACTGAAATTGACGAATCAACTCAAATTTAGTTAGCCCCATCAACCAATTAACACCAGGGGTGCCATTAAAGACCAGCAATAAACAGTGCGAATCTTATGTCCATTATAGACAGATATATAGCCGAGTAGCATGCGAAGCATATAAATGCTGACTACAACGTCAGCAACGAAAATAGTGTAGGCTGGTGGGAATTATTGCTCTCCCTAATCGAAAATCGAATCCACAATATTGTAATTTGTTTATCAACCGGAAGAAAGCAGCAGAATTCAAGAACACAGAGCTGCGGAGGTGGGACAGCAACAGACACATGTGTCAAGGCCAGCCAGCTGACACTGACCTTGACACGAGGTCTGGTTGGGTGGCTCTGGGTGGGTGGATTCCGCCCGAAGGTCGCCGCCACCTTGAAAAGACGCCAGCGCTTTTCAACCACTCCGCACCCACTTTCTGTTCTTGCTTGCTTTGCTGGTTGTTCTTCTTGTGTTTTGTTTGTGTTTTAATGTGTAATTATTAAAATTTTATTTACAAAAACAAATTACAATATTGTTGGTCATTTTCATAAATGATTGTAAATTTAAAAAGTACCTATAAACTTAGCCTACAAGAAGTGCATAGAGAAGTTCAACAAGTCGGGGGTTGAGGGTCAGGGACAGGGACAGGGACAGGGGCGGTGGCGGGCAAAAAGACCATCATAGAGGGACTCTATATTCAGGGACTCGCGACTCATCCTCCCCAGCGGCACCTGCCCCAAGCGGAGCGGGCCAGCTGGGCGAGCGAAAAGGGTTCAAAGGGTTATGCTGCTGCGCCTGCCACCGATGTTGCTGCTGCGCATGTTGCTGTTGTTCATGCTGCTGTGTTGCTCCTAGACCCGCAACGAAAATAGCCAAGACGGACGGCGGGCAGCTGTTTTGGCCGCGAGTTCTCCTCATGACGCTGGTAATAAAAAAGTGGCACGCAGCTAGATACCAAAATGTATCTAAAGCCGCTGCCGCCGGGTGCTATTTTCGTTTGGCTGCTGAACTTCAGCAACAAGTTTGCTGATGCTTTTGCTTGTGGATCTCTCCTACTCCTCCTCATCGACGCCCACGCACTGTGGACAGACGGGCTTGCCCTCCATGGCGTAGAAGGACTTGCCGCGAACGGCCTTCTTGCAATCCTAAAGGGTAGACGTGATCGGGATGAGCGATTAAATTGGGAAATCATGATAAAGAATGCGAGGTTCAGATTTTGAAATCTTTGGCATCTTTAAATATTTAGGCTGTTCTGGCGCATTTAGATTCCCAATGGTAATAGAGGTATAAATTAATTAAATCCATTTAAAGGAATCAAATGTGCCAGTAGCCTACAACTCCTTTCTTGAAACGAGCAAACGAAAATGGCATTATTTTTGATTAGCATATCTACATGAGAGGATAGCTTACCCTGCAGACGAAGCAGTCCGGGTGCCACTGCGAGTTCAGCGCCGAGATGTAGTTCTCCATGATGGCGCGGTTGCAGCCGTTGCACTTCGGGGCAAACATCTCGAAGTAGTCGTTGCGGCAGTACGGCTTGCCGTCGCGCTCATGGAATCCCTCCTCGCCGAACTGCTGGCCGCACTGGGCGCAGAAGAAGTGCTCCGTGTGCCAGGTCTTGTCCAGCGCCGTGACGCACTTGTCCAGAATGGCGCCGTTGCAGTAGGCGCAGCGCGGGCTGAACAGGTTGTGGTAGTCCGGCTCGCAGTACGGGAAGCCGTCGCGCTCGAAGAAATTGCGGGTGCCCAACTCCTGGCTGCAGTGGTTGCACGTGAAGTGCTCCGGATGCCATGTCTTGCCCAGGGCTGTGATCACCTGACCCACAATGGGCTTCTCGCAGGCATTGCAGCAGCCCTTCTGCACGGTATTGACTCCTTGGCGACTCATATTGGCCTGTAGATTGCCTAGCATAGAATCCAACTGATCCTCGCGACTGTCCTCGACGATGGTCGTCTCCTCGATCGTCTGGGTGAGATGCGCCTGCTGGCTACCCTTGTTTGGTCTGGCGTAGTCGGTTACCGTCTGGTGCTGCACTGTCGACGAGTGCTGTTGCGGATGACTTCCGTTTCCGATGCCGTTCGTGCCGTTGCTAACCTGGAATAATGGATAACGATTCCAATTAGCATGCTA